CATTAGCAAATTTGTTAAATTTTCTATGAAATTCATGAATAATTTGGCCAGTTCCAAACTGGAAGAACTGGGGTACCAAGAGCCATACCAACTGATTTGTTCAAATGTGCACAAGAATGAATTTTTAAGTTAAGAAAATCAGATTGGCCATACTGAACCGACTAGCATTCTTAATAACTTGTCAGGAACAAGGCTGACCCAAATAGGTTGGTATAACAATCCAGGCTTAGTTGGTCAATTTTAAATTGTTAGTTTGGGTTTGATATAGAGAAACCTAGTTGGATTTATTTAATCCTCCAAAACTCCTCACCATGCCAGTTAGCATTTCCATAGCACTCCAATATCATATAGAGCATGTCCATAGCACATTTCATGGCATTCCAATATTAGAAAAGATAGCCAAAAGAATAAACAAATTAAACAATGAAGTTGTTACTTACATCCTTTTCCAAAGCAACCTAGACGTCACAAAACCCACACAAAATGCCTTATGAATATAATCAATCCTATAAATTCACAACAATCATTTAACGGAACCTAGGAGTAGATATCTTAATATCTCTAAATACCAATGCATTCCAGACATTCTAGGTCTGACCCAAATCTATTGAATATAGTTTGGCTTGAAAAAGTTTGAAGACTTGTGCCTTTAAAGCCCAAAAAGCACAAAACCTAGTTTTGAGGCTCTATACATTTGATACTTAAAAGTGTTGATACTTACAAAAGTATCAAGTCCTATCGCAGACCATACACTTACAAATGGCCCAAAAGTACTGTGTAGGCCTACTACCCTAACCTACAATTATCATATTAATAGAGTAGCAGCCCTATGAAACACTATATTTAGAGGACAAGTTAGATAAATGACTTATGTGTGGATGGAAATTAAATGGCCACGAATTTGACACATGAAACTTATGATGGTCTCCCAAATTTTAAAAGGACAAAAAAAATGCATAAATCATTGTTAAMTTGTTACATATTTTGGCTCGTACTTCTATGAACATGGTTCTTCAAGGGATCTGCTGGAGAGATTTGAATCATCCACTGGGCCTCCTAATGCAGGTATGCGTTTGTTTCAATTTTCTTTTGAAGGTGGGGGTAGAGGAATGAAAGTAGGGAAGCTATGTTCATATTGGTTATAAATGGTTCTTTAAGGGATCTGTTAAAGAGATTGTTGGTTCTCAAGTCAACAACGCCTTTGTGAGTTGTATCCTTCCCTTTATGCAATTGCTTCAAACAAGGAAGGAGATATCTTTGAGCTCAATCCAGGGGCTGGAGAAATCTGAACAATTTGGAGGTTCCCCAATTATTGATCTATTGGGAAGGTTGCATGAGGCAGAGCTCAATCCAAGGGTTAAAGATGTTTGGTGGTATGCAGGGGAGAAGAATGGGATTTTTTTCAACCAAATCCTGATTTCATGCTTTGGTGGGTCCTTTTCTAAAAGGAAGATGGGGCTTCGTGCTGGACAATGGGTGTGGCCTTTGGAGATGGGATTTAAAGAGGATGCCAAAACTTGTTGCTGCTATTTGGAAAACCATTCCAGCTGCTGTAATCAGTACCATTTGGGCTGAAAGGAATAAAAAGATATTCCATAATATTGCTAGAAGTTAGGACGATCTAATTTCGTATTTAGTTGGAAAATTAATCTCTTGGGTGTCAGCAACAAAGGGATTCAGACTTCACATTTGGAGGCTAGATTGAATTCTAGTAACTTTTGGGAATTGTAATCTGGGGGTTGTAATGTTGGGACCCTATCAAGGTTTTTTCCTTGGGGGATCCCTTTGTATATTATTTCAATATCAATAAAATTTTACCCGACCTTTTCTAAAAAATTTGTTTAGGTCTTAACTTCTTAATTCCTACCAAAAAAAAGAACTTATAATTTTAATTTATCTTGTAAAAATATCTTTTATTAGRATGAATGAATGAACAACAGTAGCAAATAGGGGGTTTTGGAGCTTCAGTGAGTAAAACTAGCAAATCACTGCCAGCTTACCAAAGCTGGTCCACATACTGTTTGATGGGGCCGAACTAGGAAGTTCTTTACAGTAAAAAGTGAATTGGAAGATTTAACAGTTTCTCTTTCCTCCTTTTCTTTCTAGTAACTGACTAGATAAATTTGTTGAAACAATAGAAAAAGAGTACAAAAAATAAAGGAAAACTCAAACTGTAAAGAAACAACTGAGCTAGCCATGGATAATCTATCTCAACTCCCAAAACATAACCACATAAGAGATTAACCCAAGCCTAAAGAACTACCCCAATGAGACCCCAAAAACAAGTCAGATCCATATTCATAAGCCCTTTCTATCCAAAAAACCTACTAGAGTATTTGCTGATCTTTGAATCAGAGAAACTACATCATGATTCATAAGCCCCTTCTATCCAAAAAACTTACTACAGTATTTGCTGATCTTTGAACCTAAGCCTAGAGTTCACTTTAACACTTCCGAATGCAGAGTTGTAATCTGGTCAATCTCAATGTGCTTACCAGAGCACATACCCTGAATACTACTTCCGGATCACCAACAGCGAGCACAAGACAGAGCTTAAAGAGAAATTCAAGCGCATGTGTAAGTATCACTATATTTCTGTCGTGCCGGTGACCCGCAAATGGGTCCGACCGGTCGGAAGCCATTGTCCCTGTGCCATGGCATCTAGTGATGAGCTTGTTTCAACATTACATAACAAAACAATTTGTTGTATCCCAGCATGTCATTATTGGTCAGTTTCCTCCTCATTTTAATGAGTCTGTTGATCATCTTCCCTTACGATTTCACTCCATTATATTTTTGAATTTGACACCGAGGGTCTGGCAGAAAACACATTATAAATAGATTTGACCGTGTTTTCTATGAGTTTGACTGCTTTCAGAGAAGTTGGTCACTGCCAATATAATAGCTTAATCAGAGAGAATTGAATCTTGAAGCAGCAGACTCAATGATCCGGCTGAGTTTTGCACATTAAACTATCATTGTTACGTTTTTTCCCAAGACTCTAATTGTGAAGTGCACTACTGCAGGCGAGAAATCGAGGATCAAGAAGAGCTACATGCACTTGACGGAGGAGATCTCGAAGGAGAACCCGAACGTCTGTGCGTACATGGCGCCCTCGCTGGATGCTAGACAGGACATGGTGGTGGTTGAAGTGCCAAAGCTGGGCGAAGAGGCAGCCGTGAAGGCCATCAAGGAATGGGGACAGCCCAAGTCCAAGATCACCCACCTTGTCTTCTGCACCACCAGTGGCGTCGACATGCCTGGGGCTGACTACCAGCTCACCAAGCTCCTTGGCCTTCGCCCCTCCGTCAAGAGGCTCATGATGTACCAACAAGGATGCTATGGCGGAGGCATGGTGCTTCGCCTGGCTAAGGACCTTGCAGAGAACAACAGAGGCGCCCGTGTCCTTGTCGTCTGCTCAGAGATCACTGCTGTTACCTTCCGTGGCCCAAGTGACACTCACCTCGACAATCTTCTTGGCCAGGCACTCTTTGGGGATGGAGCAGCCGCAGTTATTGTGGGTGCAGACCCGGTGCCCGGTGTAGAAAAGCCTTTGTTTGAGTTGGTGTCGGCAGCCCAGACAATTCTCCCAGACAGCCATGGCGCCATTGACGGGCACCTGAGAGAGGTTGGACTTA